ACATGTATGCATTATACTTATCAGCATAATTTTAGAAAGAACACTGTACTCATACTGTGCATATTAAAAAAAAAGTACACACTTAAAAACATTCTCCAAAATTAGTATTTCACGATATCTGCCTGAAATTATAGGGGAGGGTCTATTCAATTGGATTTCACAAAAATTATTTTATGTTTGAGAGAGCACTGGTAATTTTTTTTTAAAGTCTTGAAAATTGGTTGTGCAATGAAATAGATGAATTGTATATCAAGATCACAATTATATCAATCATATGCTATTTTAGTCTCTGTCAGATGAGTATCAGCTCTCTGAAAACTCAAAATCTAAAGCTTTGAAAATCAGAAGTTGTTGACCTAAAAACTAGCTATTGACTTGATGAAATCATCTTATGTGGAGTATGCATATTCAAAATTTTCAAGAAAGATAAAAGGGAGATAAAATATAACTTTTAGACAGGTGAATTTTTATTTCCTTTGTAAGTTTGTAACCTCTCTTCCATTTAATTTTCATGATGCATTGCCATCTGGACCATGTGGAAAACAAGACATGCACTGTATTAAAGCTTATCAGTACTAGTTTACAGGAGGGATTAGACCGCCCAGCAAGGTCGCTGGACAGGTAGTTATCTCATCAACTCAGCTCTCAGTTAACATAAGAAAAAGAGGATCATGAGGAACCAATGGTCACCGATTAGTCATTGTTTAATATAGAGAGGGCGCAAGTAGCTACAAGTAGTGCAGTGGGCCTTTAAAGGCTTGTTGATATCTTCTACATCCATGTTTCATTGAAGAAAACAAAGCATAACCTTTGTGGATGGAGATGTTTCATTTCAAATCATAGTTCAAATAGATTATTGAAAGTTTACAGAACTTATGCAACACATTGTCTCTTGGCACCTTGAACCAATCTAAGGCTGAAGCATTTTTGCGCAAACCAATTTTCATAAATTTTTTGTCTCGCCTGCATAGCAAAAGCGAGACAAAGGCGCCGCATTCTGGTGGCGGCGGCAACAATATCATTAAATTTTTGTAAGTTTAATTTCTGATTTAATGAAACTTAATTGGCCTATAAAGGGATATCAAGTATCCCCAATCATGTGAGTAGAATTTCAGGTCACAGGTCAAAAGTCATGTTAGGTCAACAAACTTAATCTAGACTATGTTGTAGTGTCATCATCAATAATGATAATGATAATAATAGGCATTTCTATAGCGCTGTCTATCTAGAAATTCTATTCCGAGGCGCATTTATTATTACCCTGGCTTTAGCCTAGCTGCCATTACAGCGCTCCAGCATTTCAAGGAATTAATTCCTGCCATTGTACCCATTTACATCACCTGAGGTTAAGTTTTTGAATCCTTAATATAATTTTGAAAGTATAAGTTCTTATTCAATGAAACTTAGTCTTACAGGATTTTTCAAGTATCCCCAATCATGTGACTAGTCTTTTAGGTGAAAAAGTCAAGGTCAATTGTCATTTCAGCTCCGCAAACTTAGACTTTGTTGTGGCATCAACATTAAGATTTTGAATTTTTAGCATAATTTCAAAAGCGTTTAATCAAATTCCATGAAACTTGTACCCAAGGTTTATGAAGTATCACAAATTATATGACACTAATTCCAGGTCACAAAGTTAAGGTCAAAGGTCATTTTGGGTCTGTAGACTTGGATTATGTTTTTACAACTTAATGTGAGAATTAATAAATCATTTAATGTTATTTGTTTATATATTTCATCAATCTTGGTACAAATAATAGTAAATGATTCTTCTGGTGATTCTTAGTCATTATTCACTTCAAATGCTGAATTTATAGAGAGGATTTAATTTTTGGGGGCCTCCTAATGGGTCACCCTGCCTATAAATAATGTCCCAACCCTAAATTTTTCATCATATCAAATTGCGTAATGCAGGTGGGCTGCCAAGAGCATTTACCTTGTTTAAATTAGTGAGTACTTATTAAGCATAAAATACTTTGTTGCAATCGATTGAATAGACCCTCTCCCATAATTTCATTAGGAAAGCCATGCAGATATCATGAAATTAAAATGTTGGATATTTTCAGAGTATGTACTTTTTGTGTGCATAATGATCAATTGGATATCCAACAAAAAAAGAAAATCTTACTTACCTCTGTTGTGTGTCGAGTTTAGAAACAAAGTGTTACTAAATACTGAACAGTATGTGAGCATGATTATTTCCTTTCATTTTAATTATTTCATTTGTTATTTCTCTTAATTATCCTATACCGTTTTCACACCTGGTTCAGATAACCCGGGCTATCCTTAGCCCAGGATAAGGATAGCCCGGGCTAAGAAATTTGTTTCCACACCTTGTAAATTAACCCTGGGTTAACAGCTAGCCCGGGGCTTAAAACGCTGCCTGTTTTCACACCTGCTTTGCATTAACCCGGGACTATCAGAATATTCAGAAGATTGACAAGACCTAACTTGTGCGCACGCAGTGCAGTTCTACGAATCCACAACCGGAAGTTGACAGACGACTTAATTCTTCAAAATGGCGCGCCACAGGATTCAAAAGGATACAATGGTTTTCTTGCTTGCCATTTTCCATTTGAGAAAGAATCATCATCTTGAGACAAATATCTTAAACAACAGTAGAAGGAAGAGGATGAAACGTTATTTGCAACAATTTGAGGATTTGAAAGCCGCGAACCCCTGCCTGCCACCTTGGAAAACGTGCGCTCAGATCCTCGCTGTTGTCATGGGTGACATTTCGCATTCTTGAATATTCTTTCATGCACCATCGTTCAAAAGATATCCCGGGTTAACGGCTCATGCTTTCACCTGACAGGTTAGCGGGGTTAAGCGCCGCTAGCGCTGCAATTGTCGCGCTAACCCTACTCTGGGAGCAGGGCCAGCTTAGCCCAGGAACTTGCGGAGCTAACTTTCAACGGGTGTGAAAACGGGTGTGAAAAACGTTTTAAGTCGAAGCTTGTTAACACAATATTTATCACTTGTACATCTCCATCTCTCTCAGACTCCTATACTTGGTCATTCCATCCATATAATACCTCAGGTTGGACCCCTTTTATCACTTTGGTTTTGTTGTCAAACATTTTAGTGTTGTAGTTTAGGAAGAAAAAAAAAAATTCTCAAATTTGCACCCTGATCCCCCCGCTCCTGTGCTAGATCAGTGTGTCTGTACAGCGTCTGTATAGCCCCCCCCCCCCCCCCACCCAACAAATGTTACCAAATTTAATGTAAAATTATTTGCAAAGTGCCATGATATGAATCATTTCATTCACCTCTTATGAATAATTGTATTCCAATAGTCAGAATACAAAGGTCATTTATAGCATGTATGTTAGGTAGGTCTAGCCATAACATTTGTAACAGGCGAATGCAATAATTCTTATCAAGGCCCTTCACATACATGTAGATGTATGCATTAAATTTGGTCACATTATTATAAGAGCCTGCTTCCTCTTTTTGTATGGTGCTGTTTAACTTTTGCAACTACACATTGAAAAACCAGTCCATCCATGTCTAATGTTCTTTGAAATAAATTCTCAAGTTACATTGTCTGATGATTGCAGAGGATTTTGGCCATGGCACAGATTTTTGTCCCTTTTCAATATTGAATGTTTTCCTTTCAAGCTTCAGGGATATTATTTTCTTACATTATGAATAATCTGAGCACTTTCCTGACTATGTCATCAAAGTTTTCAATTCATCCTTTAATTAGAATGCTCTGGGACTGGGTTCCCTTCTGATATTTCCATATTCATTAAAAAGAGATTAAGTGAGTCTGAGTAATGTACATGAGTTCCATTGAGAGTCAGAATGGCGTTAGTACAATCTAAACGTGATATGAGCTAATGCCTTTATGGCTTTCAACATATGATTGGGCAGGAGGTATTGAGAAATGCTACTAAAGACAGATAAAATACTCTGTTAGATTTAAAGTCTGTCTAGAATCAGGCTAATGTCTGTATAGCATGGACTTAACACTTGAATGTGCTCCTCCATTTGGATTCAACTAGAAATAGATTGTACACTTCGGCACAATATTCATGTACATGTATGTACAATTTATACTCTTACAATAAGATTTCATAGTTTTAGAGTTCTTATAATAATAATAATAGTTTGTCCTTGTATAGCGCATTTCAGGACCGCAGGCCCTCTCAATGCGCTTTACAGATATATATTATTACAGCGGTCATCGGATTCATGCTTACACGCACACAAGGTATGCACATTCTCCACTCCCTGGGGAGCATTCCCACCAGTCACAAGCACCATTGCTAATCAAACCACATTAGCTTTCGCATCCTACCGGGTACCCATTTAACACCTGGGTGGAGAGTGGCAAATGTAGATAATAATAATAATAGCCTAAAAGTCCACTCCAAATTTTATTAAACCGAAACGGAAATTCTTTTTGCCCAATTGATCGTGAGCCCGGCAGCCACTGAGCAGCGCCAGATCGACGTTGCTCTATCCCTTAATGTTGAACGCCAAACAAGGTAGCAACAACTCCCATCTTTTAACGTCTTTTGGTATGACGCGGCCGGGGTTCGAACCCACGACCTCCCGGTTGTGAGGCGGACACTCTACTGACTGAGCCAACACTCCGGTATATCAATGTCTTGCCAAAGGACATTAGTGCCGCGGTGGGACTTGAACCGTGGACCTTGTGATCCACATTCCGCTGAGATATCCACTCGACCACGACACCTCTGTACTTTGTACTTATGTACTTTCACTACACACCAATCATTTAATATTAATTATTCTAAGATCCAAAGTCATAACAATGTACTATAACCATCATCAAGTTTTACACCTTTAAACCCCACTTCTTCTTCCCTCTATCGTTCCTTTTCTCCACCCCTTTCCCAGTTTAAAAAAAAAGAAAAAATTCCCTGCCCTTATTCCTGTCAAAATCTGTATGGGATAATTTTTCTTTCTGCATGTGATTGGTCATATTTGAAGTGTGATCTCATATATTTGATATGGTCTGTGTTTTGCAGCTTATTGGCTCTGCTATTAGGGAGTTCTGCATCAGCAGGAATCTATTTGTCCTGGAGAGCGAGGTTTGCTTCAAGATAAATCTTTATCTAGATATGGCGCAAGAACCAATATTTAGCAACCCCCCTTCACTTCATGGTTTTCAACTAACACGATTGCAACTATTTTTGAAAAATCAACTCAAGTGCGATTTCAATTTCGACTTTTTTAATTAATTAATTTTTGTTGTAAAATCATTCAACATTCAAATAAAGAAAAAACTTAAATAACCCAGTACCAAGGTTTACAAAGACAAGGTAACATAATAATAATGAGCCGGGAGGGGGGGGGGGGGGGATGACAGATATATACATAAATTCATTTACACTTAATAGGTATACTACATTTCAAACATGCCAAATACAACAAGTAGTTAAAAGCGTGGCTGAGAAATAATTGACTTAAAGAGATAAAGAAAATAGTTACAATAATTATAAAATGTTATTGTAACTTGATATAAAGTCATTTATGTAAGATAGAGGTTAAATAATATAATGAACAGTCATTGATTATTTTGGTATTGTGGATCAACATAGTGTAACATCCCTTTAGTAGTTACTGCTCTAGAATGATCAATTATATAAAATTATATAAAGCTGAATTATCAAGAATTGCAGACAAAATATGAACAAAAATATGTGATGTGTAGTCAGCAACTGCTATATTTTAATAGTTCTTAATGCTAAAATTTAAAAAAAAAATTAAAAAAGAACAAGTACCGGTACATAATATAAGCTTTGTTCCCTTATATCATACTTCAGGGAAAAGAAGAATAAAAAGAGAGCTTTGGCAAATGTCTCATTAGACATTTTCATTGATGGATCCCATTAGCATCAATCAAGCAACAAAGTGATATTTTGCAAGAATTTAGTATATTGTAATTTTATTTACATATCATTCAAAATATTGATTTAGATGAGATGTCATAAGATGTTGGGTTTATGTGTCTATAATAAATGATATTACTTCTTGATTTGAACATGAATGATATACCTCAATTCAATTAATTACAAAGTTACATAGATGAGCACTTCGAGGCATAGAGTAAAAAGAGGGATTCATAATCACAACAACTAGACAAGTATTATTGCATTTCCTATGTTCAGCTTACAGTGCACATGACATTGCATACTTCAGCATTCCATATAATAATAATAATAATAATAGCCTAATAGTCCACTCCAAATTTTATTAAACCGAAACGGAAATATAACAAAACATATGCACCAACTAATTCAGAATTTGGAGGTGAATATATGTTACAATAAACAATGATATATAATATCTTTTATATAAACTTGAGGGTATTTGCAATCTCAAACCTAGCTCCTCTGGAGTCTGGTCTTGTTGAGTATATTCATAAGTTGCCTTCATGTGAGATGCGTGCAGCTAAGACAATAAAAACAATGGATACACATAGGGAAGAGAGCTACATGTAGCTACATGCCCAGTCTAATTTACTTTCTACATATTTTACCATGACAAAAGGTTATTTGATCAATTTTGAGTGTCACATGATAGCTTTTCAGCAAATAGGATGCTCTCTAATAAATAACATATATAAATTGTAAAAGTTACTGTTCGCACATTTCATTAGGTGATGCACAGGGCTATTGAAATTGCATTTAAATAGGTTGATGTTTTTAAAGTAGTTGCTATCGTGTTAAGTATGTATATATCACACCCATTGCACCCACAGTATGGTCTGCAGGCATAGACTTCATGTCGATAACTTGTGTTGTTTCACTTGTTTATTGCATAGCTATCATGCATGATGTATAATATTTGGTGTTTGCCCAAGTCAGTGTAATACAAAAAATAAAAATGCATTGGTTCAAGCCTTAAAGTTGTAATTTTCAAGCAATTGCATTTAAGCCTGCAAAATTCTTTTATTTGTATGTCGATTGATTGTTCATTTTCCCAAGTGGAGTAAAAGCAAATAGAAAAGATAAAATATGTATAATAAACCAATACCCCTTTCAAACTGGCCTGATTTTCATTGGATGCATCCGGACGCATCCGATGAAACGGCTACTATGAATGGTACAGAGGAGAAAAAGCCGATAGAATAGCCGATGAAAAGAAGAGAAATAGGCGATTAAATGCTCCTGCTCAAGAGCAGGAGAAATTCACTTCTATTGGTGTGACACCGATGAAACAGCCACTGTGAATGCGTTCAGGAGAAAACACTGATTAAAAGGTCGATGAAAAAGGTCGCAGTGTACGCGCGCTTTATCGTAACCAGCTATGTTTGTTGACTTTTGGTTGAACATGCTGCATGCTAGCTAATTCTTCGCTAAGGACTCGCCACAGCGAGTGAATTTCACCCGCAGTATGACATGCAGAGAAAGAGCCGGTTTCACCTTTGTTTACATGAGGAAAATTCAATCGGTATTTTAATCGGTGTGACTCCGATAGAAGCATTATGAAAGGGGTATTAGTTACATGAATGACTTAGCTGATATGTAATTTGCTTCTGTTTACGCTGGATATAAATGCATGAATATGTATTATATATTAACTTTGTTTGATTGTTGGTAAAAATTATAAAAAAGCCTAACAGCATGCAAAATTATTGATCTTCTTGATGCTTTAAAAAAAAAAAAAAATTAAGAATACAAGAAATTTAATTAAAAGGAATATTGGATAGATCAGACAGCTCTTGGAATGGATTAAGGCATTGAGGAATACTTTTCTTTTCTTTACAGGGAAATCTAATTTCAATATTAAAATATTTTTTAAGAAAGCAGAAAAATCAGAGAAGCAATGGTGAAAGTTTGAACAAACTCAGACCAAAAAAATAAAAAAGTTATGAACTTTTGGAAGTCATGATTACTACGGTATATTATGGTCACTTCAAGTAGGCTCAACCTGCAGTGTCCAACACACACACAAAAAAACTGTCAATTTTCAAAACATATGACTCAAGGGGTTATTTCTTTTTAGAAAACGTTTAATAATACATGCTACCCACAATTTATTTTGAGAAATGCCCCAAAAGAGAAGGTGCTTAGGAGAAAAACAGAAATTTCTGATTTATTTTGTTCACAACAAATGGGAGAGTTGTCCTTGAAGATGATACAATCCAGTGACCAAATGGCAAATTTGAGATTGGCATGGATTTAGTGATTGCATATTTCAAAAACTCATAATTTTCTTACTAATTGATCCGATTTCTTTCAAACTTTCGCCATTCTGTAATGCTGCCATTTTTAATGTTTTGCATTATTAATTCTCTTTTTCTTTGATTTTTTTCTTCCTGTATACCGGTATTAATTAATGACAAAGTTACATGAAAAGTTACTTTTCCTTGTTTTTGTTCTTACTGTTTTTGATTGATGTTCAAAAAAAAAACATAGTGCTAATAAAGCATTTTCTTTGTCGATCTAACTTACAATGTATGGTGATGGAGTGGCCTTTTTGTAATATTAATTTAAATTTGCTGTGCTAGAGTGTACACATACTGAAAAAGTTGCAAATGGCACATCATTTACATTTTAAAATAAGATTTCTTCTTTGAAATGACTTCATGTAAACACACTATACCTTTAAGAAAGCTCATTGCCCGGGTATTTTTGCTTCATCAAATATTACAAAAACTTTGATTTTGAATGCAGTGTAACTGATCACAGTTCAATGAACATATCATATTGTGTATCATATGCTGAATGATCCCAATGTTATCATATGATATATTCATCCGTTCCATTCTTTTGTATTGTTTTCATTCTTCCATTAACTCATTTTTTGTTTGATAAATCCCTTTCCTGTCCCACACACCACAGAATGCTAACATACACTGTATGATAAATCGTTTTATTCATAGCTCATCTTTCAACTTCTTTTTATAAGATTTCATGTACCAGTAATTGATCATCGTTAACCATCGAAATCATATTAACATTATAGGCTCTCACATGGAACATGCCCCAAACCCTGTAACATTTCCAATTTTGATAGCATAAACTGCACATACATGTGCAAATTTAGGAGTTTATGATTAAAAAGTCATTATCAGTGTGACCATGAAATCTGTTTCATGGTAAAGAGTAAATTGTTTTCTGTCTAAAGATTCCCTATTTATCAATTTTCTGCCATGTATGACTGTCAAAACCTCCTTATAATAATAGGTTTTGGCTGATGTACCGAATGTGAGTCAGGCCATATGCATGTTACTTTGGTCTTAAAATCCTTTCATACTTCAGTGATTCATTGTTTCAAATAACCCCATCTATAAGCTTTGACAGGATTTTGTTTCAATCCACAGGATAACCTTAAATTATTTTAAACAGCCTACTAACTTCATGTCTCATGATTTCTAATATCTCTGCTCACTTGTCCATTGCAATATTTCACATACATATGGTACATTGAAGCACTAACACATAACTACATTAACAGCACATGGAAACTTGAGGTTTAATAACCTCAAAGAATAGTAAATGCAAGAAAGAACACAAGAGAACTACCAAAGATATTGACAATAGACTTTCATGAAAAAAGATGGTATCGCAAGTAAACTTTGTCGATTTTGAATGACTCCAAGAGAAATACAGGATGCAAGAAAGGCCAAGATTGTGTCATAATACAGGGAATTTCATAAGTTATGCTTGTAAATGAGCCTTTTCTTGAGTCTGACTTGACATTGTCACTTTTTCTTTGATAGTGTACAAAATCAATCAATGTGAATATTGATGTCAGAACTTGTTTTTGGACTGAAATAACAATCATTGTGTAAGGACTTTTGACCCACATTCATTGTTCCAGCCAAAACTAGAGGATTTTGACAGTATTTTTTTAAAGGGCTGTTGCTCATTCATCAATTGGAGCAGAGTTATTAATGAGGTATCATTAGACAGAATATTAGTTGCATTTTTAAGAATGAAATATAATTCAAGGTTTACACAGGTTATACAGGTCATATGGGAAGCTACTAAAATTGGGTACACTTTTTTTTGTATGCAGTGTATAACACGATCATTTAAGAAAACACATTGCCCTTTTTTGTGTGGTACTGTGGTTTCACTGTAATATAGTCCCATTTGCTTAAAATTGCATGAAAAAAAGTGAAAGCAATTTATACATAATGATTTGCTAACACACAAATACAAGGTGATTGATAATGACTTCACACCTACTGTACATGTTTGAATTGCTATGATATTATGAATGTTATTATTTTTGCTTAAAATTTTACCAACAATATATTTTTTTTCTTCATGATTTACAGGGTTCAATGCTGAAGACCATTCTCCTATTCATCTTCTCGCTCGGTGCTGTGTTTGCCACTGCTTTCCTCATCATCACCATCGCCATTGCCTGAAGGTCTGTCTGAGAGGCTAGCACCACAACCAGCTTCAAAAACTACCCACAGTACTCTTTTTTATATATACTTCTGTGGGGGTAATTACTAATTACAGTTATTTGCAGCCAATAAACATGCAAGACATTTTAAATACAGTATACTCATTTTGAGGTAGCACATAACCAGCTACATGTACTAAGCAGATTCCTAATGATATTGTATTCACTATTGTACGCATAACTATAAAAAAAAAAAGCTAGATATGCTTAAAGGGAACCAATCACTTAAAAAAGATAATTTGTGTATGGCTGGTATGTATCAAATCAACCTCAAAATCTTCACCCAATATTTGATGGGCCAACAGATAAGGAGTATGATGAATTTAAAGAATAACATAACACCCAAGTCGGACTTGGGTTCTGTGCTGGCCCTATTCTGTGCAAACACATACAGATAGTTCACTCATCACTTTTATGTTGTTGAGAGTGTATATAAACACACAGTATCTCTTTATAAAAGTAAAATTTGAAGCTCACTTTTATTATACATATTATAACCACATGGATAGTTGGATACGCTTTCAATACATGTACATGTAGGAGACTGCTTATGCATGTTAGCAACAATTTGCCGTCTTCTATTACGAGCAGTAACATTGAGTTATGCTCTTTTTGCTCTCAGCAATATGACTTGTGTATTAATGAGCTTACAATATTAAAGTTGTCTGCTGTAAGGATAGTCCTATCTATCCTGTAGTAAAGACCTGATGCCCTTTTTGCTCTCAGCAGTATGTTTCATCTATAGTCTATCGGAATATATGATGGTATCTATATTGTGTTAGCATGTATATAATGACATCTGCTAAGAGCCATGACAGCATTAAGTCATATCATCATCCATAAGATTTGTGTACATGAGTCTATTCTTGGGTACATATGTATCTCAACCTATTAAAGTCTAAACCTCAAATTATATACTGTTGCATCAAAACAATATACTAACAATGAAGGAAAACAACATCTACTATAAAAAAATACATGTACATACATACAAGAATTGATATCATGTTGGTTATCTACAAATACATGTATCGGTACATACACACACCCTTACATACATACAAGTATGGATATCATGTTGGTTATCTACAAATACATGTATCGGTACATACACACACCCTTACATACATACAAGTATGGATATCATGTTGTTCCTATCAAAAGGTATTGTTTTTTTAAAACAAGTTACAATGATTCCTGCAAAACTACTGAGTGCAACAACTTCAGAATTTGCCTCTTTTTTTAGTATACCGGTAGTGAATTAAGCTTAATTCAGAATGTACATGTACATCATAAATACTGGTTAAATGATAACAATATCTTGTACACACATATATATATATATATATATATATATATATATATATATATATATATATATACACTGTATATAAGGCCAGAAATACATTGAATTACATCTTATTTTCAATATTCTACATTTACAATTACACTTTATATGCATGTCTAAAGATAGACATACATTTACATTACCGTATAATAAAGCTGTAGAAAAGTGTCTTGTGTGTCATATATATGGCTGAACATCGGCTTAAATTTATAGAAAGTTATTGAAGAAATAGAAACAAGTTTTTACTGATGTTCATGAATTGTAAGTAATTGATCTGAGTGGTTTTATATACAGTTCAAATTCATGGCAACTCTCATAAAGAAATAGATTTGAATGAATTACAACTATTTATAACATTGGGCTCTGGAAGTTAGTATATTTGATTGTGTCTCATTCTCTAAAATCATTTTCTATTCCATGTCGTGCAATTCATCGAAAGAAACTCTGATTGAATGGTATCCAAGAATGATATTTTGTGTGTTAAATTTGCCTCAACATGTTTTCAGTCCTCAAGTTAAAAACTTTAAATAGGAAAACAAATGTTGAAGCTGACAATGTATTGGAAGAAGGTGGTCATTTCAAAATGTGACATAATCAACTTGCTATTGTAATGTGCCTTCTATAGTAATATACATGTATGCCTTCTTTTCAACATTTTTCGCTTTCATAAAAAATGTCAGTCATCTTTCTTGAATGTGTATACTTCATTTTCTTTCTAGGGGCATATTTTGATAATGTGCCAATTCATACGTGTAAATGTAAAAGGTCTACAATATATATATATACCATGTACATATATGAATTACTACATGTATACCAAAACATTGCAGCATTATACATACATGAGGTGCATAAAAGGTGTTTTATCTCAAACAGCACATGAAAACTTAAGGTTTAATAATCTCAGAGTATAGTAAATGCAGGAACGAACACATGATGAGAACTACCAAAGATATTGACAGCATTCATTTCAGTATTTCATTTCATGAAAAAGATGGCAACCCAAATAAACTTTGTCGATTTTGAATGACTCCAAGTGAAGGCTTACATGGGGTGTACTTTAAATACAGGTTGCAAGAAAAGCCAAGAATTGTGTCATGATACAGAGAATTTCATAAGTTATGCTTGTAAATGAGCCTTTTCTTGAGTCTGACTTGACATTGTCACTTTTTCTTTGATAATGTACAAAATCAATCAATGTGAATATTAATGTCAGAAATTGTTTTTGGACTGAAATAACAATCATTGTGTAAGGACTTTTGACCCACATTCATTGTTCCAGCCAAAACTTAGTAGAAGAGGATTTTGACAATAGTTTCAACATGTTGATTCTGACAATGTATTTGGAAAATGTGGTCATTTCAAAATGTGACATAATCAACTTGCTATTGTAATGTGCCTTCTATATTACCGGTATATATGTATGCCTTCTTTTCAATTTTTCCACTTTCATAAAAAATGTCAGTCATCTTTCTTGAATGTGTATACATGTACTTCATTTTCTTTCTAAGGCATATTTTGATGATGTGCCAAACTGCCAATTCATATATGAAAATGAAAAAAAGTCTACAATATTTACGTGCTATGAATTACTATACCCAAAACATCTTTCAAACAGAAGAGCACCATCAGGGGATAATGTAGGATATAATGCTCCAACTCCACATGATTAATGTGCACAAGGGGCAAAAGAAAGTAAGAACATGAAAATACCCAGAAATGAAAGGTATTAAAAAAGAGGATCTACTGGAAAGCAGATTTAGTGAGTTAAGAGGTCATTTTAACCTGAATTATTGCAAATATATTGTGGCGATCTACAGTGTAATTCTGCCTTTTATTTTCATTTACATGTACAGTATGATGTAGGAGTTGTCAGTCCTATAAATTTCTGTGAACTTTGAAGTATTCATAGTCATTTCTGCTGCAGAGGAGCCATAACAATAAGATCTTTGTGTTATGACATCAGGCTGCACAGCACAACTCTAAATTGTGAACCTCCTAAATTACATAATTTGCAAGAGATAGAATTGAAGCACATAAAGTGCCTTTTGTGAGTAATATTGGCCATTTGATTTCTCAAAAAAACATATGAAGGTGTACCACCTTTAAAAATCAATGACAGTATATTACAATATCATGTCTACTTGCATGTACATACAGTAAATAAGGTATGTTGTCTTGTTCATGACATTGATTTTTATGTGAGCTTTGAATGTTGATACTCTATAATATATTTGACACTTTCAAACTGGGAATATTTGACATGTTTCTGAATATGGAAGGATGAGATAAGAAAAGATCAGCTTAGTCAGCAAGTCAGAAAATATATGCAACATAAACTGAAAACCTACATCTCATATGATGTTTTGACAAATATTCATCAATTATGCAAAGATACTAGAAAAACCGTTTATAATTTCCATCTCTTTACTATCATAAGCTTAGCAGTTGGCAAAAAATGTATTTTGCAGAAATGTCTTAATATGTAGTCCTAAAGATCTTTCTTAGTTTATTGAATCATGTGATTAATTTGCATTGTTGATATTGAAATGCCTATATTAAGTGCTTTGGTAGTGTAGTTTTCACTTTTGTTTTTGTTTGATGCATATTTAGTTGAATGTACATTGTAGATCATCTGTTAGGAGCTAGAAGGGTGTTGAGTTCAATGTGTCAAATTATATGACTTTGAAATGCCTTCTGGCTGTAGACAATATTCAGTTGAATATGTTAGAATATCATAGTGTACATGATTAGTGCATTTTAAGTCTTTGAGCCAAGGTAAACTCCCAAAGGTATAATAGTGCTAAATGAATGGATATATAATTTTAATTGATTGAAATAATTGTATATTTTTAATTTATGTGATGTTATTCTATAGTTATAGTTTTATTAATTACTGCCAGGATAATCACATTATTTTATACTTGTGATTTAGTATTTACAGATTTACACTATATGTACAATTCTTTCATGTTTGTCTCTGTAAGTTTATATAAGTTTCTATATTGTTTGATGTGTTTGCTACATGTTGCAATTATAATTGTGTTTTTAAAACATCTCACACCCCATCTAAATGGTAAAGATAACTGCAAAAATGGTTGATTATTAAAGTGTTATCTATCTATTTTATAGGCATTTTTGAGACTTAACAAAGAAGGGTGTTTTTTTTTTCTTTAAGTCTCTGTAAAGGCTTTACCACATACAGTGTTGTAAAGCACAGCAGTTTGAAAGGTATACTGCACTTCATATTGTATAATGCACAGATACGTGATAACGTGTCCGACCTTGGATGTACGCAGCTACAGTGTATCATTCCCACTTCATTTACACAGAAGCTGTGGCATACAGTCGTATGTGAACAAGTCTTAAGGATGCCTTCTTTAAATATTTAGAACTGCCCCAAGATGCAATGAAATTAAGTGAAAAGCACAAAAAGCGTAAAAACATTTTTGAAATATGAAATTTGGATATGCAATGTACACACACACAAAAAAAAGAATTTATGTTGTATATGAAAAGGATAGCATCATTAGAATGTAGCAAATACAGTAGTCAATTAAGGCCTCTCTTCTCTCTCACTCTCATTTTTTTTTTAAATGTGAACTTATGACATGCCTTCCTTCCTCCAGCATATGGATTGTTCTCACTGATGTTTCATTTTTACACAGTGGTCCCATTGTTGTGCACAGCCTCTGTGGCAGTAATGAATTCAGTGCATGAGCTGCTGGAAGCTAGTGGGACAGAGTGCAATCTATGGCAGTGAGAACAAGGCAATTAGCCCTCGTGGAGCTATTAAGCTTCCATAAAAATCTCAGTATTTCATGACTTTGAAATCTTTACAACTTCTTTTTGAAAAAGGATGCATAACCTAAGTCTGAGTTATTGATCATTTCTCCATATAGAAAAGATGAATTGTACACGTATGGATGTTTGCTATGCCTTTTAATTTAAAAGGGTGAGAGAGAATTTCTTAAAGTACAAATGCAGAGATACTACTTGTGAAGAAAAAAAGAAAAGAAAAATTATGATGTTAATTTTTATTAAACAGAATTGAAGTTATCCCTTTAGGCATTTTAATGCCAAAACCATCGTATCAAATCACCCTCAAGAAATTTACTATGGGAGAGAGGCAGTTTCAACCTTTGTACCAAATTGAATATGCACCTTTTATACACTGGTAATTCACAACTCTCCAGCAAAATTATGGAATGAAGCAATTCTCTTGTCCATTTCATATGACCTTGGGGCCCGTATTCATAAAATCTTAGTAAGCCTAGTTGTACACTATTAGTTGACAACTAGCTTGATAAGGTATGAATACGGGGTCCCAGTTAATTGAACAGAACATGCAGCAATTATAAAGAGAGAGAAGAGTTTGTGCCTTTTCAAAATTATGTTTGTTTTGAACTTAGTTGATTGATGTACTTCCCATTTAGATAAGTCACGGATATATTTTTGGAAAAGTATTTGATCAAACAGGGTAATTATTTGTGTATTTTATGATAGTAAAGATATTTCCATTTTATATGTAGTGAAACATAAGATGATGAGTTGATGAAAACCTTCCAAAAGTTCATTGCACAAAATCGTTGTGAGCAATGTTTGCATGGCGATTGCCAAAGCAATGGTCTGTAGAAGGTGACTAGTTAGTAATCATGGTAATCATACAAGTTTCCCTAGTACAGTTAATAGATTTTTGTAGAAATAAAGACATGAATGTAATAGTAAACAATAAAGACAAACAATAGAGTGTCACAAAATATGTATCCTTTTGCTTGTTTACTTGTCTACAATGTCAAGCTCATATTAAAGTTTAGTGCTAGATTGACCTTTCTTGGTTCATCTTGTGATCATGTAAGGCTACAAGAAATGATAATGTATTGATATGAATTGGGCCTAGTCGTGATTAGATGCTATATCCACATTACAATCACTGGTGGGATCGAGGGGAGCACATCCAGCTGTGAGACTACCAAAATGGTCTGGCACTTTTAAGGCTCTTTCAGATATGAATAGCAACTGTGCGCAAGAAAGGTCATATGCGCATTAACTGAGCTCTGTATTAAGATGCTGAAATGTGAAGCCTATAACACTTAATATGATCATAAAGATGCTGCTGCGGTTTTTCCATGTCTCACTCAATCCACTCATCTCCTCACTTTATAATCCACTCATCTCCTCACTCAATCCACTCATCTCCTCACTCAATCCCCTCATCTCCTCACTCAATCCACTCATCTCCTCACTCAATCCACTCATCTCCTCACTCAATCCCCTCATCATCTCCTCACTCAATCCACTCATCTCCTCACTCAATCCATTCATCTCCTTGCGTCAATCCTTACGTAATACCTATTGTGGGATGAATGAATAGATCATCCCCCCTGAACAATAGGTATCAATTACAGATATACGCCCATGCCTCACTCAATCCATTCATCTCCTCACTCAATCCATTCATCTCATTGCTCAATCCACTTATCTCCTCACTCAATCCATTCATCTCCTCACTCAATCCACTCATCTCCTCTCTCAATCCACTCATCTCACTTAATCCATTCATCTCCTCACTCAATCAATCCACGCATCTCCTCACTCAATCCACTCATCTCCTCTCTCAATCCACTCATCTCTCTCAATCCACTCATCTCACTTAATCCATTCATCTCCTCACTGAATCAATCCACGCATCTCCTCACTCAATCCACTCATCTCCTCACTTAATCCACTCATCTCCTCACTCAATACACTCATCTCCTCACTCAATCCACTCATCTCCTCACTCAATCCATTCATCTCCTCACTCAATCCATTCATCTCACTCAATCCATTCATCTCCTCACTCAATCCACTCATCTCCTCACTCAATCCACGCATCTCCTCACTCAATCCACTCATCTCCTCACTCAATCCACTCATCTCCTCACTCAATCTCCTCACTCAATCAACTCATCTCATCACTCAATCCATTCATCTCACCATTGGATGGCATGATCACAAATTAACCACTGCCTAATAATCACCTAATGAAATGCATGAATATCAATCAACAACTTGCTATAATTTGGTAAGACTTCCAGGGGATATACTATAGAGTATTGATATTGCCTTTGAGTAAATTATTGAAACACTTTGTGATAAAGTTCATTAAATATTGTAACGAAATCGTTATTTACATTACCTAGCCCTTAGAGGGCGTTAGTTATTGTAATTGTTTATTGTTATTGTAGATGTCGCTATGGTTACGTCGCGCACTGCGATGCGCGTACGTGGGGTTAATCTTGTGGGCAGTCTGTGTTGAGCTGCCGTAGAAGGAAGTTGTGCCTTAATTTGTTTGGAAGTTCAGATTATTAAAGTTCTTGGAAACATTACTTGATCTGTAAGTGCATATTATTTCCTGTGTTGGTAACTTAATTTAGTTAAGTGATTGTAAGCTGATCTGAGAGTGTCTGTTGCACAATATATTTTTGTGAGAACGTCGAGTACAGAGAAAGAGCGGGTTCTGACTGAAGAAGTGACGCTACCCAGAGAGTGAGAGACCCGTTTTCGTTACATTGGTGGCTAGCGGTGGGATTAAAACAGACACGAGACACGGTACTCGATCAGCATACGGCAGAGCTGATTATCAAAAATAAGGTTAATCGAGCATTAGCTCGACACGGCAACTCCTCACCGGCTTCAACACGGTGGTCTATAGCACCTCACCGCTACAACACGGCAGTCTATAGCACCTCACTGCTTCAACACAGTGGTCTATAGCACCTCACCGCTTCAACACAGCGCTCTATAGCACCTCACCGCTACAACACGGCGGTCCATAGCGCCTCACCGCTTCAACACAGCGTTCTGTAGCACCTCACAGGCTCACCGCTACAACACGGCAGTCTATAGCACCTCACTGCTTCAACACAGTTGTCTATAGCACCTCACCGCTTCAACACAGCGCTCTATAGCACCTCACCGCTACAACACGGCGGTCTATAGCACCTCACCGCTACAACACGGCAGTCTATAGCACCTCACCGCTACAACACGGCGGTCTATAGCACCTCACTGCTTCAACACGGTGGTCTATAGCGCCTCACCGCTTCAACACAGCGTTCTATAGCACCTCACCGCTACAACACAGCGTTCTATAGCACCTCACTGCTTCAACACAGTGGTCTATAGCGCCTCACCGCTACAACACAGCGCTCTATAGCACCTCACTGCTACAACATAGGGCTGATAGCGCCTCATCGCTTCAACACATCACTCTGTGGCGCCTCCACACAACAACGACGCAGAAAGCATCAGTGTTTGGAAGAAACATTGTGGTATGGCTTCTCAGAGACTGACTATAGAGGACGAGGTAGAAGTCCTTGCAGCAGAAGTGCAGCGAGGCGACGAAGATCTACGTCGGTCCAAGACAGAGATTCAGTCATTATTAGAACAGAATGAGCTTCTCAGACTGCAGGTAAGAAGGCTGCATATCGATCAGTCTCCTGTAAGTTTCCCTAACCAGTCCCAGAGTGGAACGCCACCCACTGCTGGTAGACGGGAACATGAGTCAACGGAGACTCATGCGACCACAATGAATGATAACTTGCTGGTCAATCCCAAGGGACCTGAATCACCAATGCATGGATGCCTAGAGGATCAAACGCAAGTGAAGGTGGCACACGAGCAGACTGCAGCTGCTGAGGCGAAGGGACTTCATGCTGCACAGTGGTCTCCAAGTAAAACATCAACAGCCGTTCGTCGGGCAGATGGGCTACGAACAGGCTTCTTACATAGGCAAGATTTGGATGCTTCAGATGTTCTTGCATCAATTCCTCACTACCAGCGACACAGGAGCGAAGTTCCAGGGGTACGGTCACCTGTTACACTGTCTAAGCCAAATGTATCGCCCGACAAATTCGATGGGAGGACACCTTGGAGGGATTACCTCAGCCATTTTGAAGCCTGCAAGGTCGCCAATAACTGGGGTGATGACCATGCAAAGGTTTTCCTAGCAGCAAGTCTGAGGGGATCAGCACTGAAGATCTTGGGCAGCAAGGCAGCTGACACTTCTCGGATCGCATACCAAGACCTGGTAGTTCTTCTAGAGAAGAGATTTGGCCCAGGCCAGTTGGCAGAGAACTTCCTCCTTGAACTGCGTTACAGACGCCAAGGGCCCAGAGAGACCCTCCAGGAACTGGGTCAGGCCATACGGGAGTTATCCATGTTGGCATACCCGGAACTTACTGAAGAAGCCCAGGATCGGTTGGCAAGGACACACTTTGCAGAGGCGATTGAGGACCAATCCATCAGGGAAGGGGTCTTTCGATCTAAGCCAACAACTATGGATGAAGCCATCCAGGCGGCCTTGGCAACTGATAATTTTTTCAGACTCGAGGAACAACGGTCTGGCAGGAGGCAGAAGCAGGCAAGGGCCGTTGACACTGATTCAGCAGCTACGATCAATGAAATCTGGAGAGAGCTGAAGAGAATAGATGAGAGAATCGCCAAACAGGAACGACCCATCAAGTCAGAAGAATTCAGACGGGAGAGACCCAACTCGTACAGGCGGAGAACACCAACAGCCACAGATGAATGCTACGAGTGTCATGAGAAGGGGCATTTTAGGCGTAACTGCCCTCACGCAAGAGAATACAGGAGGCCTTCGGGAAACGAGGCTCAGCCAACCCAGAGGCCCGAGGGGAGGCTGGACGGACACCAGGGCATGTAACTGACACACCTCCATCTCCTCGAGAATATCCTTCAAGGAATTACATATCTGATAAAGCACGACGTGGTCTTTTTGCTGAGGTGGAGATAAGGGGAATCAAAGCAAGGTTGTTGGTAGATTCAGGTGCCACCGATACCATTTTATCTTCATCCGTGTACTATCGGATACATTCAACTAATAGGCCAGACTTGACAGAAGTGGGAGTTCGCAATGCAGATGGCAGTAGCATGGAAACGCTAGGTAGTGCATGGTTGGAGCTTGGTGTAGGAACATGCATCTTTCCACTAGAAGTAGTCTTCGGCAATACCGACCAGGTAGACGGGCTACTTGGGCTGGACTTCATGGAACCAAATGGGTGTATTATCGATCTGAAGACAAAGGAACTGCGGCTCAAGGGAGAGAGAATCAAATGTACGGATGCACGAGGAGTTTCATTTAGCTCCAGAGTATTGATAGGGGCAACTACAAGGGTGCCACCAGGTCATGAGGTTATTGTTCCAGGCTACACGACAGGGCTGCAAGATGGGACAGGTCTAGGTCTCATTGAACCTGCGGAGAGTAGCGAGCTCCTGAACAAAGGCATCATCGTTGCACGGGTAGTTGTAGAAAGGACGGAAACAACCCTCCCTGTTCGAGTCTTCAACCCAGGAAAGAAGGCATGCGTAATTCGCAGAGGTACACTTGCCGGCCATCTAACACCCATCAGCGGGGAGGACATTGAAGAAATTCCAGGCCAACCTTTACCAACAACCGATAATCATACAGTCCCAGACCATCTCGTAGATCTCTTTGGAAGAAGCAAGAGAGGGATAGACAAGGTCTTCCATGACAGAATTGCCAAGCTATTGTGCGAGAACCAAGACATTTTCGCAATTTCGGACTCAGACATTGGAAAGACTGGCCTTGTCAAACATCACATCAACACAGGGGATAGTCTTCCAATCAGACAAAGGCCCCGTAGGTTTCCACCCAAGGAGCAGGAAGAGATTGATCGTCAAATCCAAGACATGCTTGAACATGACAGAATAGAGCCCTCAGACAGCCCTTGGT